TTAATTCTTTTCCTTTTTTGAGTTGTAAAAGTATAAATTGAGTTTTTATATTTAAATTTTGTTATCATATTTTTTTTTCATCGATAATATCGCTAATCTAATTATTATTTTTTCTGATAGTCAATTTTAAATAAAATTTTATTGATTTTAATTTTGAAAAGCTTCTTTTTGTAGAAGTAACTATTACAAAAATTAATAATAATATTCTATAAGAAATGCATACATTTGAAGGAAAAATCTAATGTTTTTATATAAATTGGTGTTTCAATTGGAGTATTTTCTTTCATTTATAAAATCTGTTTTAAATAATTATTTTTAAAATAAATATAAACAATCAATGTCAAAAAAAATTGTTATGTATTAAGAAACATCCAAAATCAAGATAAATTTTTTAAACTATCAGCATTTAATAATTTTATTTTTTAAGTTAAATAAACAATCAAAAAAAATTCTTTATCAAAAATTATGGGCCTTCCTAAAATCTTGGGCCTAAAGCCCAAGCTTTTTTGCTTCTATAGCTGGGCCAGCCCTGGTGGGGGAATATGCCAACTTCATTTGCATTAATTCGGAGCCTACCCTTGTTGAAGGTGCTACATCTTAGCGAAAATCCAATCCATAGCCTACCAGATTGTGTCAGAAGTCTTAATAGTCTCGACGCACTCCATGTAGATTCATGTTCAAAGCTGCAAAGACTCACAGGGTTACCCCATATAAAATACAACTTATTTACGAGCGATTGCCCATCATTGGAAAAAAATAGAATATGCATCATCTTTGGCCTCTGAACAGTGGTTACACTTAAATAAATGCAAGAATCTATTGGAGATGCAAGGGCATTTCAAGTTAGAACCTGTATCAAACATTAGTGCAGAAGTTATCAATAATTTGCAGTTGTCCAACATAGAATCCCTCAGAAGCACTATGGTGGAATTGTTCAATCAGTTAACATCAACGACAAGCAAACTCCCCATCCAGATGCTCTCTCTCTCTCCCCCCCCCCCCCCCCCCCCCAAACTACTTGGGTGCAACTGTGAATATGCAAATAAAGAACACACCTTTTGATAATCACGAGCTGCAGCTGCCATTCCATTTCCAAAAGCTAAGTTGGACTTGAACATAGTCAATTTGACTGAATTCAGATCCATTTCAGTGTATACCACTGAAAAATTAACACAAAACCAATGAGACGAGGAATATGGTTAAATTTTGAAAGCTCAATGACTAAAGAGCCAGAAATATCATCAAATAGAACAATTAGCTACACCAAAATCACGAGTAAATGCACAATGATGATCATTTAAACGCAAAACAAACCGACAACTTAAATCCTGAGGTGTTCAAATCCGACAGAAACTAGGAAAATTGTAGATGCCTTACTTCGAGATCTCAAATTGAAAAGCAACCTTCAGAATCTACGAGTGAAATGTCTTTTTCCTAAGCAATTGGCGCACAAAAGGGCTGGGAAGTTTAACCCGGTTACACGCCAATTGAAGTTCTAACTAATTTATGCCTGATTTCACATAACTACACTGGTTTTTATGTTACTTCCCTTTCCCGTGGTAAAGGAAGCCAGGATGGAGATTTCCCAAATCCAAGCCCAGGTTACGAGGAACCCACATTGAACCCGAATTTAATCCCATTCTAATCTCTATTTTCATCCATTGAACTCAAGTTTCATCTCAAATTTCAGACTCAACTCCAATCAGAGTTTAATAATGTTAACATAATCAATACACGAGTTGAAAGATTCAAATTAAATTGAGATTCAAACTGAATTTAGAGCAAATTGCAACTGAGTGCATTTGACTTCTTAAATTCCCTTAGACGCATACATTGGTGATGACAATTGAATGTGACAGTACAAAAATGGAGGATGGCTTACAATGATTCAATTTAGGACCTCTGGGATTTCTCACCATATTTTTCATGGGATTCTCTTCTCTCTTCCTTTTTCTATGGTCAGATTATTAGAGAAGAATAAAAAGAAAATATAGTAACATCTGAGTCTATGTACTTGATGGTGCTCGGAAATACTAGCCCAAGTCCAGATCCACATTCAGATGGCCTAGAGAGGGGATAGAACAAGTATATGGATTAGAAATGGATAAAGCTGTGAGAGAAAAGCCAAGACATTGCCCCTTTAATTCTACAATGACAAACAATACCACTAGATTTTTTTTTTCTCTGAATTGGAAACAACCACAGTTAAATCAAACATTTTCCTCTAAAGTTAAATGAATTTATCATGTCAAAATTGAGTTATTCAAGTTTGATAATAACATATCCGGTGTTCTGGATTGATTTAGGGCAAAATCGTTGACTCGCTGGATGAAAAGGTTGGATCTCAGTGGATGAAGATGCTGGATCTTGATCAAGTCGCTAACTCAATGGATGAACAATGGTTGGAGTTCGTCGGAGATAACAGTCGTTGACTGGTTGGAGCTCATGGAAAAGAGGCTGAATCTCGATGTTTGGTAGAGGAGGAGAGGTCATAGTCGTTTGTGGAGGAAAAGAGGTGAAAATTTTTGAAAATTACTAACTTAGGCTGTGATTTGGAAATTTTTAAGAGAGCAGATAGAACATTAAAATCGTTATTGTAAATGACGTTTTTTACCCATTTAGTTATTTAACGCCCGTTAGCTGCCGTTTAAATATTTATGTTAAAAACGTCATTATAAATGATGACTTTAAAAAGATTATTTTTAATGACGTTTTCAGAAAAAAATAATAATAATAATTTCAAATCGTCATTCTAAATGACGTTTTTACATCTGAATGCATCATTTCAAATGACGTTTTTGAAAATAAATTGAGTTTGAGAAATAAGTTTAAAACGGATTGGGTTGAGAAATTAAGATTTGAGGAGGGCTGGGTTTGGGGAAAACCTCCATCTTAGCCCATTGTTTTTTAAATTTCATTGACACCCCCATGAGGTTGGCCTAATTGCAGGGACACCCCCATTGTTTCTGAAATGTCACTGCCACACCAGGATGCAAACCTTGGTCGTAGTTTCCTTGTCCAACAAATTCCATTTCTCATTGATTTTTAATTTCCTTGATTGCTAAGTGGATTCTTAAATAAAAAAAAAAAATATATATATATATATATATGTTCTCCAATTGAGCTATCAAACAAATTATAATTAAAGAAATAGTAAGTACTTTTCAAATATGACTTCAACTATAGTTTCTCCAACTACCAGGCAATCCTTGTTTCTATTGTGTCCTTGGGTTAGTGCAGTATGGAATGACTTGCCACTAAGATGCTGGTTTATAAGCAGCAAGTTACCAGTATAGAGCTATGGCTACAGAAGAAGTAGAGAAAGGATAAGGAGATAGGGAGGAATGCTCAGGCATTAATTAATAACGGTAACGATAACCAAATAACAAGTCTAAACATCCATAAACTCACAAAAACCAAGCAAAACAAATGATAGAGCTATGGCTACGGCAGATGTGGACAAAGGATAAGGACAGAGGGAACAATAATCAGGCATTAATTAATAACCAAATAACAAGTACATCAATAATAGAACCAAGATTCTGGAGGACAAACCAAGCAAAACAAATGAAAACACCTCACATGAGCATAAAATAATACTTAAGATTGTCATGCACCCAGTAGCACCCATTACCATCTTCAATCACCACCACTGCCACGAGATCCACCACCATCTTTCCTGTTTCCACCACTTGACTCATCGTAGAAAGACATCTTCACACTGTCACGGGTCACCTCCACTTCCTTCAGGCGTTCAATATCATTCAGGAACTGCCCCAGATTATTTGGCAAAAAGCGAACTGGCTCAACGAAAACAACTTGACCCCGTGGAATTTTGACATCCACTTCTGACTGTGAAACAATCTGCAAGAGCTCTGCTATTTTCCCAGCATTGCTAAGCTCCCTTATTACGGTTTGAGGGTCTACAAAGCCTGAAACAGTAACTCTTCCTTGCTCTGCATCTATCACCGTTGAATCAGGCCATACTCCGGGAATTTTTTGCAGCACTTTTTCGATGTGTGTCTCACATCCACAGCAGCTGATATTTACCTTGAGAACAAATGTTGAGGAAGCAACCCGAGAGTACTGTTCCATTGAAACTAGCCCAAAAACATATCAAAGACAAAGATCATAGTTAGACTTGCCTCCAACATTCCATTGCAAGCCATGAAGTAATCACTCTTGGTTAATTAATTAAATAAATTGGGATATAATTTCTACGGTTGATCTTAGTCAAAAAAACCGAGAAAGATATAATTTCATGGATAAGATACATTTTTAGTCTCTAAAATATGCGTGTAGTGTCTATTTGGTCCTTAAGATTTTAAATTTATATTTATATGATCCAATCTAAAACGTCCGTAAAAAACTCGTTGACGCCTGCGCCAATCACATAAGACTAAATAGACACAAAATATGAATTTTAGGAACCAAAAAAACAAATTAAAAACTTTAGGACCAAATAGACACAAAATTTGGAATCACATAATTGATTATAAACGTTTGAAATTAGACTACATAGATATAAATTAGGAACTTTAAGGTTTAAGACAAATAAACACAATTGAAAGATTGAAGACTAAATAAACAATGAATACATAATTTGAAGGGATTGTATTTTACACTAATTTCCATATGCCCCCAATTGCATCCAAAAGGCATCATGATGACGATGATCATAATAATAGAAATAATCAAAATAGTTATGAGTGGTTATCTAGTCACTGCTAGGGAGAGAGAGGGGTATGGCCTTGGCGTGTAAAGGGCATCACGGGGTTCAAGACATGGAATAGTTTTTCCTAAAAAAAAGGGTAAAGCTTATAACATCTTCTTCTCTGTAGACTTCATAATGACGAAATTTTAATGTTTTAAACTACGTTGTTAATAATCACTATCGTAATTTTAGCAGCAACAATTAAAAATAAAGACGATGGATCCATATGCTTTAATCAGTAGGCTTAAGAATAAGATTACAAATCTGTCAGATTTGATGACACACAAGAACAATGAAATAAAACTAATGACAATGATTATAAAACTGTAAAGAAACTTACTATAAGACGACGGATCGTTCTTGGAGAAATCGGAAGGCTATGGAAATAATAAGTTTGTAGAAGCGTTGAAGGGTATTTTTATAGATGGGAGATGAAAGTACTTTGATCTCTTTTTATATTCTTAATACCTAAGCAAACCTCAAGAAATATCTCCGTACTATTATTGAGATGCAGCTTCCTAGAAATTAAGCTTGTTTGATTTCGTATCTACACGTAACGTATGATATGTCAGCATAAAGTTAGCCGTGTGACAACAGCGCGCCGCAAGAAGTCAATCGTTGGTGGAGAAAAGACTGCTTATTTTTTTACTAGGGATGTTGACCCGAGTCAACGGATAAGAAATAGTAAATAGGGCATTCTATCTTTTGAACCGACAAACTGTAGAAGGTCAATTTATTGGCCGACTTTACCCGATCGAGGTTATGTGTCGAGCCGAATTTCATCCAAAAAATCTACTTGGATTAAAAGTTGGGTAGAAACGCGGAATATTTCACATTTTTTCAGTTTTTAAGTTATTAATTTTTGGGTCTTATTAACAACTCAATTACTAAGTTTTTGGGCTATTTTTATAATTAGGCTATTAAAATATAATATAAGAACATGTAAACCAACACAATAAATCGGTAATACTAAAAAAAATACAATAAATTTAATAATATGAGCATATAAAACGACATCGTTTTATACCAAATATATTTATTTAAAAAAAAATTAAATATATGTGCTAGTTAGGTAAAGATGCAAAATTTTTATGGGTATTTCATATTCCTACCTACAGTTTTACAATATACTAAAATTTCTTTCATTGGTCAGCCGAAATTTTGGGAAATTCTAATAATTGGGTAGAGTAGAATGGGATGGATGCGAAACAGGTCGGGTAAACGGAATTTTAAACAACCCTAATTTTGTTAGGATGGCCGGCTGATTTACACTTTAGCAAACCAAACATATAAGTAATGTAGTAATAGTAATTATAATCTAGCTAAGATTATATATAATGAAATTGTTTTTTGACGTTTCTAACACGATTGTTCATTCAGGTTTCAAACATCTTTGAATAATTGTGACTTCTTTGCTAAACATCTTAGAATATTTTTAATTTTTAAATATATTTCAGACATGTCCGAATTAGTTTTCGATATATTGGGGTTATTTTATAATTGTTTTTTTAAATTATAAAATTATTTTTTATTGTATAAAAATTAATGTCATTCTGAAGTGAAAAATTATTACCATGTTTTTTATATTACAAAAAATATTTATTAATAAGATTTATTTGTAACTCTTTTAAATGATATACATCGTGATGAATTGTAAATGACAATAATTAGTCTTATTTTTAATTAAAAATTTAATTATTTTTTATTTGTCCATATTATATATATATATATTGATTATTAAATTTTTATGTTTAATAAATTTTTAATATTTTAAAATATAAATTTATAAACTTCTATGTTTAATTGGAAAAAAAAAGATTAAAACGAGCTAATACGTTTATCTCAATACTTTTTCCTGACTCCGGTCTCGTGTGTGAGGTCAGTGTAAAATACATCAGCCATGACAGTATGATCATATGTCAGATGGTAGGTGGAGCCAAGCTAACGAAGTAAACATTGTTGGAAATTTCAACCAATTTCTCCAATTGACAGATAATGATGGGTTGTCGTTTTATAATGACCTCGAGACAATCATCTACAAAACCATATAAATCAATCAGCTAATAACATGAAACTCTGAGTACTATAGCTAATATCATTAAGTAATGTTTTGCGGGCCATGGTATACCTAGAAAGTTTGCCTCTTGGAACATCCAAATGGGCTTTGGGATATCTTCGCCTTCAACAGCAATCTCACGTCTAAACGATAAAGAGCTGAAGCGACTTAAAAAATTAAATCTTCTACATAAATGGTGAAAACATAATCAGCCAGGTATAAAATCCATCTTGTTGGTTCTTATAAAAAATTATGACATCTAGTTGGTTTTTATCAACAATTTTGCATTATATTGTCACTAATAATAACCACCTGAAGTGTATATGTGATCTTATTTTCTAGATCCGTGCTTCAATCAACATTTGATCATGAATTTGAAAATAAAATATAAGTTAGCAACTACTACATTTTTGGAACCTTAATTCGCTCAAAACATAAAACAGTTGCTTATAACTATTTTTCGACCTGTGTCTCCTGATAAACAACTACATAGGGCCATTGGGCAATGACATACTAAGGAAATTCTTAACGAACTCATAAAAGTGTTGTTTATCACAAGAAGGCAGGTTGTTTATAAGAGTTAAAATGTATTAATCATAACATGTCAAGGCAAACATATCCTTGATTAACATACTAAAATACATTAAAGATCCAAGAACTATAATATTTTCATAAATTCATACACATAAAAAGAGAAACGACAGCATAAAACCCAGACCAAACTCCAAATAATTGGAGCTCTTTGTCACAAAAAAATGTATTCGTAATGGGGAAAGCATGGGATGCATATTGCATAACAAACAACAATATGTTAAGGAAAGCAAAGGTCTAAAATTTTCACAAACCATACAACATATTAAGACTAAGATCAAAGAAAAAAAAAACCCTAACCAAACTAATTCTGCAAGTCAATAGAAATTATGATATGTGTCTAACCTGTGAACTCCCTGTTTGAAGCAAGCAAGCACCCATGAGCTAAAGCCAACAAACCAAGGGATAACAAATAAGTTTTAAAAAAAAAGATGGGTATGTCTCATTCCAATTGCACAGTGAAAGTTGATTAAAATACTATTAGGCAAATTGCCCAAGTAAATTCCATGTCTACATTGAGATTTAACAAACTCCAATAATTTCTATAATAGAAAAAGACAAATGACTTCTAGAACGATTAATGAATTACAAAGTAATAAACAAAAGAAGCTGTACTAAACAAAGGATAGTCGAATAGAGAAGAGAAAGAATGAAGTGGGAGATAAACTGACCATGAACAAAGGCCAATTTTTCTGAAATTTTGTAGCAACCCCCAGTTTGTTTTGTTTTGAGCCCAAAGTATAGAACTGGTAGTCAGAAAGAGGAGACACACACACACAAGAGAGAGAGAGAGAGAGAGAGAGAGAGAGAGAGAGAGAGGGAGAGTGATGTGAGAGATCGACCATGGGACAGAGAGTAGCGTCTTCGGCGCTACCTGAGGTTCGCCACTATTAGAGCTGGGAGTGATAGAGAAAAGTTAGGGAGAGAGGAAGAGGGATGTCTGCTAGGCTAATTAACGTATAAGGCTATAAGCCTCTTAAGTAGACTGAATGTATGTATTGAATGGGAGTCTCTTAAGCTGCTTGCGAGATAATAAAAGATAGGATATATCAATGTTAGAGCATTGATGTAGAAGTTCAAATGATCTGTAAATTGTTGTGATTGAAGAGAGAATATGAAAAGTTTAATTTAATGATGTCATTATATCTATATAATAAAATAGATCGAAGTTTGAATCCAAAGACAAAGAAAGGTCCAGATCGTGTTGAGACAAAATATAAACACATCCAACGAACAACGTAATCTCTACATAAAAGATAGTTCAGATTATCTCAAAATTTTTGATCTAACAGTCTGTAATGAGTATTAAATTTTATTTTTCTGCCTAACGACATTTCTTGAGTCATATCTCTCTCTCACACTTCTGCCTCTCCCTCTCTCTCACGCCTCTCTTTTTCTCACTCCTCTCTCTCACGCCTCTCTCTCCCAATATATCATGTCTTTATCACATGATCCAGCCTTCCAAACTCCATATTCACCCCAAACTCATCCCCCTATCTCTCCCGCCTAACTCTCCACCGCCAAACGATTGCCACCGCCACCCACTGCTCTTTCTCACGACTAGTTCTCTCTCACATCCAGAGCTTCATCACTGCCTTCTTCTACGAAGCAATGTCACCGCCAAACGACAGCCACCTCCACCCACTGCTCAACACCCAGAAGTTGCCCAGGTATCTCAGTTTTTTTTCTATTTTTTCTCATCCCTTTTACTCCGCTGCTCATCTCTCACGCACACAATA